ATCCTGTTTGTGTGCAGGGTTTTTAAGAAGAAACAGCACAGTGCAATGAGCAAATCCTTTCAGGGTGTGTGGGAGGCAAGGGAGGGAAATGTGGAGAAAAGTCCTTTAAACAAATAGCAAAATATTGAACATGTGTAAAATCCTGTATCATTTATGAAATATGTATAAAAAGCAATGTACCTTCTGGAACAATAAATACTTATTCAATTTTTGAACTATAGTATCTATTTCTTTAAAGCAAAACCAAAAACAACAGCAGCAGCAACAAAACTTACTTTCCTGTGATTCTAGTGGAAAACTGTTTACTTCCAAAATTAATTCTTTTTTTTTTTTTAAGATTTTATTTATTTATTTGACAGTGAGAGAGGGAACACAAACAGGGGGAGTGGGAGAGGGCGAAGCAGGTTTCCCGCCAAGCAGGGAGCCCAATGTGGGCCTTGATCCCAGGACGCTAGGATCATGACCAGAACTGAAGGCAGCCACTTAATGACTGAGCCACCCAGGCGCCCTAAAATTAATTCTTATAAAAATATCATTTTGAAATTAAATCTGGTTCCTAGAGCCTGTATTTTTAAAACAGGCATTTTTTTTAAGATTTTATTTACTTATTTGACAGAGCATGAGCTCCTTGCTCAGCAAGAAGTCTGCTTCTCCCTCCCCCTCTGCCTGCCACTCCCCCTCCTTGTGCTTGCTCTCTCTGCCAAATAAATAAATTAATTAAACAAACAAATAAATTTTTAAAAACAGGCATTTCATTAATGCTTCCTGAATCTAAGATGGTCGATATTTTCTTAATTTTCCAGAGCCATCAAAGGTTAAGTGACTTCTACAGGCAGAATAAAGCCAGTGGCAGTACTGAGACTAATATCCTTATATCCTGATTAACAGGAAAATTGTCTGTTATATCAGACACCAGATTGCCCAATGTGGTCTCCTGGACTTGAGAACACTGTCCAAGAATGAACCAAGATTAAATATTCATTTTTTAAGACTTTGTATCAAATTTGACCAAAGCAAATAATGATCAGCAAACAGGAAAATACCACATGCTACCTACTCCATTGAAGGCCTATCAAAAAACATACGTTAAACGCCTGTATTCAGTGCAATGTGAGATGTAGGAGAGCTTCCTGGCAGACATCCCTGGGACAGAATTAAAGTGTAAGAAGATAAGATTGAAAATGTTTTGATTTCAAGAATAATGCCTACATATTCAACAACATTGTTAGGCTTTAGTGAATTTTCAGTGGAGATAATGAGAAGAGGTAAACCCATTAGTGTAAATAATGCAGTTTTGCTAAAAGATGATAGACCTTTAAAGCTGGCAAAAGTAAAAAGGTTCTCTCATGGTACTATTGTTGGAGTGGCAGCCTGGTATCTCCTTGTTAAAAATGCAAGTTCTTGGGGTGCCTGGGTGGCTTAGTGGGTTAAGCCTCTGCCTTCGGCTCAGGTCATGATCTCAGGGTCCTGGGATCAAGCCCCGAATTGGGCTCTCTGCTCAGCAGGGAGCCTGCTTACCCTCTCTCTCTCTTTCTCTCTCTGCCTACTTGTGATCTCTCTTTCTCTGTCAAATAAATAAAATCTTAAAAAAAAAAATGCAAGTTCTCTGATCCCTACTGAATCAGAAACTAGGCATGGGGCCGCAATCTGTATTTAATAAGTCCTTCTGGTGATTTTGATGGGAACAATTGATCTAGTCAAACCAGAGGACACCTATGTCAGAACTTATCAGTGAATCCTATGACCAAACAACCAGAGTGACAGAGGCTGGTGAGTATGGTGAATATGGTAAATGGAAAGAATAGAGCTCACGTCACATGTACTATTGTATCTTGCTTACTGGCAGGAGAATAGTGATGAGCACATAATAGATGCTCACAAAAAAACAAAAATAGGGGCACCTGGATGACTCAGTTAAGTGGCTGCCTTCAGCTCAGGTCATGATCCCGGGGTCCTGGGATTGAACCCTGCATCACTGTTCATCAGGGAGTCTGTTTCTCCCTCTCCCTTTGCCCCTGCCCCCTGCTTATACTCACTCTCTCTCTCTCAAAAGTAAAATCTTAAGGGGAAAAAAAAAAAAAAACACAATAGGTTGAATTTTAAAAATCAATGTAACAAGATTTCACAGAAAAGTGGAATTTCTTAGATTTTGGAACTCCGTTTCACCAAAACTGTTAAGAGTTTTATTTCATTTTTCTGGGATGCCTGCGTGGCTCAGTTGGTTAGGCGTCTGCCTTTAGCTCAGGTCGTGATCCCAGGGTTCTGGGATCGAGTCCCACACCAGGCTCCTTGCTCAGAGGGAAGCCTGCTTCTCCCTCTGCCTGCTGCTGCCCCTGCTTGAGCTCATTCTCGCTGGCTCTCTCTGAAAAATAAATAAAATCTTTTTTAAAAAAGAGAATTATGATTCTTTTTTTAAAGGATGTATTTATTGAGAGGGAGCAGGGGAGGGGAAGAAGGAGAGAGAAAATCTCAAGCAGACTCCCCACTGAGCATGGAGTCAGTGGCAGGGCTCCATCCCACAACGCCAAGATCATGACCTCAGCTGAAATCAAGAGTTGGTCACTCGACTGACTGAGCCACCCAGGCGCCCCAGTTGTGATTCATTTTTATTACCGTCAACAATCTTTAGTTTGTTGCTCTCCCAAGTAAGTACAAATTCCTTGTCTTCCAGACATACTACATAATTACTTCCTTAGGATAAATGTATATGTTAATGAGTTATACTGAATATAAAATTGACCCACTTTACAAATTTTCATTTGCATAGGTTTTATAAATGTATCATTCATTGAGTAATCCCTCATTCTTGAAATTGTCCTCAGCTCCTGTGACCTGACTTCGGTTTCCTTCTTTAAATCTCTTCTTCTTGGTCTTCTTTGCAGTATCCTCCTCCTCTGCCCACATCTTGATGCTGGGCTCCTCCAGGGTTCCATCTCGGACCCCATTTTCCATGGATGATCTCACCCACTCCCTCCCCCCATTTATATGCCAGTAATTCTCAAATTGTTAGGTAAGCTCAGATCTTTCCTGAACAGCCAACTGGTTTATCTACCTCCTAACTGATTTCCCCCTTCCGCAATAAATTCCCTTAGAGGGAAATGCATCTTAGTGTAAAAAATTGACAAAATATTAGTAATCGCAGCTGTGTTCCTTATTCTTTCTACTTTTGTATATGTTTGAAATTTTTCACCATAAAATATTAAAATGAGAGGGCCGGTTAATGAAAAAGTCAAAAATAGGAATAAGAAAAAAAAAAAGGTCTTAACCATCCTGGGAATGCTTGTTTACAGAACCAAAGGGCTATCTGTAAAAGTCCTTGAATCTGGCAATCAATCCTGGCAGCAAATCTGGGTTTATCTCATGCACACGTCCTCTGTTTCTCTGCAACCCATATGAAACACTCAGATGGTTTCTCAGGGACAGGAAATTGCAGGGTTTTGTTTTTTCTGTTAAGAACACTAACTCTGAACTGCAATGAGGCAGTTCCTCAGTCCTAGAACCATCAATTGCTGCTGTCAAATTGCAACGTAATAAGCTAAAAATGGTCAAGTTGCCCATGTTCTGCTAGCATTAGTGATAAAGTGGCTAACTATAAATTCAGATCACAGGAACCCCCATGCTAGAGCATGGTAAACTCTGTACTCGGGGGAACCACTTTTACCTTCGTCACTGTCAAAAACAAGAGACAGCATGGCACTTGGCCCCTAGTAGGCACTCATGTTTAATTGAACTGAAACCCTTAGAGGAAAGGGGCCACCATAATTTGAATGCCACTTAGCATAGAAAAAAATTGTGATAAGAGATGAGGAAGACAAGTTTATAAATTACTTCCTAAAACAATAAATATTCCTTCCCCAGTCACTAGAAATTTGATTAGGACAAGAAACACAGATGAGAGAAAGGATTAGAATGATAGAAGCCCAAAGCATCAGGTCAAGTAAGATTGGGAGGGAGAAATTTTGGTTTCATTCATATCCTTTTTTAATAAAGCACTTAAAAAATTTTGGGGGGGGGGGCACCTGGCTGGCTCAGTTGATAGAGCATGCGACTCTTGATCTCAGGGTCATGAGTTCAAGCTCCATGTTGGGCGTGTCCTATTTTTTTTAAATGGTAAAATAATAAAAAAAACCCAAAACCTTCCCCCCACCCTTCTTTTTGTCTTTCCCCTTCTCGTTATCTTCATTAACAGTGCTTGCTAATTCTTAGGTGTCCACACACTATAGAATGTCAGGGAGCTGGCATTCTGTTGCCTGGGGATACGTAATACACAGATCCTTTCATTTTGCCTCTTTGGTCTAAAAATGAAATTCTAGTAAATAGCACTTTTTAGTATTGTTAATTTAATGAGTCGTTCCTAATTTGAAGTCCCTACCTCTATCTTAGTGTGAGAATTAGTAAAATAAGTAACACTAAACCATTTTAAATTGGGGAAAGAAAGGCACTATGAAAACATGAGGTATTGCTGCTCGAATTGGTAAAAACACAACTAAACTTGGTTTCTTCAGAAAATTTTGAGACCAAGGACCATAATAGAACACACTTAAGAGCTTGCTTCAAGACAATATTGTCCTCATTCCACACCTTTCCTTACTATTTTTTTGTGTGCTATTGTAAGCTCCTTCACCATCTGACCAAGACATTTCCTAATGACCAGCTACATCAATCTGGCTTTATCCCATTCTCATTCCGTAAGCAATGGTAGGGCTGCAACATCATGAAATTAATTCCTAGAAGTCACAAAACAAGATTTTGACAAGAGGGGATGTCCTTCATTTAGAGTTTCCTTCTGGATAAGATAACTGGGGACTTGTTGCAGGGAATTCTTGAGAGAAAACAAAAGGAGGATGAGGGATTGTGATGGGTCCCCCCCCCACCAAAGAAAAATATCAATAACCCTGTTGACAGTGTAAAACAGTGTTTCTATCTGGGGTCAGGGCCAGAGCAAGGGATACATATCCCACTCATCCTCTTCCTCTGATAAAGCCCCAGCCAGTACTGTAAAGTCTTTTTTCAGAAGAGCCTAGCGGCCTTTTTTTAAAAAGTGCTTGAAAAAGAAAGGGACAAAGGACAACTGGAATTAAGAGGATTTCCAATCTGTTCTGGTGGCTGGTCCAGAAGGATGCTTCAGTCCCTGCTTCTCACCTGCCTCTTCATCACAATGATACCTGCATCACCAGTGGGTGAGTCTTGTGTTGAGTACTTGGCACAACACACTTTTTGTTGTAGGACTTTGCTATTAAGTCCAGATTAAGAGTATCTTAAATTCCAGTATCTTAAATACTGGTTTTACAATAGTGTCAGAAAACCTATGATAACCTACCATAGATATATTTTCAAAGAATTCCTATTTCATGTTCCAGTTAGCCTCTTGCCTGGGCATCCAGAATTCCTGTGGATCTACCGTCCCCAACAGCTTTCCACTAGATAAATATTTCTCAGAGGCCATGTAGAAAGAATTCTAACCTCTTTATGTAATAGGCACTTTTGTAATTCCAACTTTAAGAGCAAAAATATAACCTTTAGAATTGAGGATAGAGAAAAAAAAAAGAATTGAGGATAGAGGTTTTTTTTTTTTTCTTTTTTTTTCTTTAATGAATACAAGGTGCTGAACGAAAGCTCTATCCCTGTGAAAGACACAGAACTTCTCAGTCTGGACATCTGAAAAATACGACTATTGCATAGACTGAGGGAATCTTAAACTCTTTCCCTTCTCAGCCTTGGCACAAAAGTTGCCAAGAAGGCAAAACAAAGTTTCAATTCCAGTTACTAACACATTTCTCCTTTTTCCAATAGAATTTAAGTTCTAATTGGAAGAGAGGGTGAGAGGAGGTTGAGTTGGACAGAGCCATCCTTCTCGGCCCTTCTGGGTAGTTCTCTTCAGTTGACCCTGATTTATTTCTTCATGATAATTCAGATCTTGCGCTAGCACCTTCAAGGGTACACATTAAAAATAGGTTTGAGACCCTAAGGAGATGTGGAAATTAAGGTAATATGGTATCCTAGATGGGATCCTGGAATAAAGACACAAGCAAAAACTAAGGAAATCTGTACTATGGATTTGAGTTGATAATAATACGTCACTACTGGATCATTAATTGTGTAAAAGATACCACACCAACGAATGATGTTTAATAATAGGGGAAATGGCACCGAGTATATGGAAATTCTGTACTGTTTTGTGAAGTATGCCCTAAATCTAAAGCTGGCATTAAGAAAAAAAAAAAAATCTATTAGAGTTTTGAACTAAGTTTAATTACCCTGTATCTGCTGCCAATAATTAGCCAAGACTTGTCTAAGCAAAAGTCGCCCCCACCGCCTTGGAATTACCACTTCCCTTTCTTTCCTTTCTTTATTACTTACTCTCCCTTTAGTACCTCCTGTTCCCATCACAGATCTCCCATCCCAGATCTTTTTTATGTTATCTATTTTTTGCAGCCCTTCTAGGACGTTTGACTCAATGCCAGAAGTGAGATAAAGGGAAAGCTTTGGGGGATGGGGAGTAGGGAGGGGGTCTTCCCCGGAAGGAGAGGGAAGTGAGAGAAAAGGAGGGGAAGGAAAGAAGAGGAGGAGGAGGGGGCAGGCAGCAAAGGGGGAGCCTCCGTAGGGAGAAGGGAGGGAGAAGGAAGGAAGAACGCGGGGAGCTTCCGGACCCAAGACCCAGCCCGGGGGCACCGTCCCCAGCACCTGGACTGCTGGGAGCGGAAGGGCAGGGACGCTGCCTGAGGTCTGCTCTCCGCACTTGGCCGCCGCGAGGGGCTGGCCCTGGGGACACGCAGGCGTCTGCGCTTCCGGGGTGGGGGAACTCGGGAGGGGCCACCAGGCAGGACTCCAGGTCAAGACTGAGGAACTTTCTGGAACTTTGAAAGGAACCCCCGAGGCGTCTTTTTGAAGGTCTCCCATTTAAGGAATGTGTACTAAGGCAGTGTGCATAATACTGAATTCCAGGCTCCCAGGAGAGACTGAAAACAAGAATACCAGTGGCCAGATTATTAAAAGATTGACGGGTGGAGAGGAATGGGTTATTTAATGTCAGGAAATATTGCTTGGGTGGGCGGGGCACCTAGGTAGCTCAGTTGTTAAGAGTCTGCCTTCCGCTCAGGTCCTAGAATAGAGCCCCGCATGGGGTTCTCTGCTCCTCAGGGAGCCCGCTTCTCCCTCTCCCTCTGCCTGCTACTCTGCCTACTTGTGCTCCCTCTCTGTCAAAAAAATTAATAAAAAAGAAAGAAAGAAATGAAGGAAGGAAGGAAGAAATATTGCGTTGGGAAGTTAAAAAATGTACTTATTTTATAGAAGCTAGTGGGTAAATTTCCCCCATTTGGGCCATATGTCCCCTTCAACGAGAGGAAGTGAACTTTTAACAAATAACACAAGAAATGACAGTTAAATTTAAGGAAAAACTTTATAAATCATGAAATAGTTATTGAGGGCGGTTTAGGAATTTCTGCAAAAGCCATTAAAAGTTGAGTACCTAACCATTTCTTATAAAATTAGAGCCAAGAAGATCAACCAACTATTTCTATGAATGTATAATCACCTGTGAAATTGCCCTGGAAACCTTGCTTCTTAATAGAACCACAGCTGGGAGAGCAGATGAGGGAATTTTTCCAGTTTGAGAGGGGAAAGTCTGTATGAGGACATTCCCTGCCCTCAAGTGACATCAAATATGGTCCAGGGCAAAGCTGGGATATCTCAGGAACATTTTAAAAGAGAGAGTGTCCCCTGCCATGTGCAACTCTGCAAACGTGTTGTTTCCAGAAAATGCAACAGCCTACTTACTTCCTGTCCCATACTTTTGTATTCTCTTTGGGGTCATTAGCACTAAGCTACACCCTCCTCTGTATGTGACTGAATTTAGAGAGTGAGCTGGAGTTTGAAATGGAGACTGGGAAAATCCAAAATATTTTCTAGACAACTTAAATTTTATGATCATGGCCCATCATATTTAATTATTGTGCAGTATTTGCTAAAACTGAATTTTCTGCCTACAATTTTCTGCCTTAATGTGAATTCTCTGCCTACAATGTTAGGTAAGTCAGCCTCCTGTGCATTACAAAGGGTGGTACTCTCTGGCTGGTGTTCCTTTCTAGAATTTCTTTGTTTTATAGGTTCTTCCTAAGGACAATTTCCCTACATAAATTCAATGCTTCCCTGAAATTGTGAGAAACAATGAGAATATTGGGGTTACTGCTGTCTGTAGTCATTAAAATATTTTTGATGAGATATTTGTCCATGCGATTTATGCACTAAAAATGCAAGCTTGAGAAATTTGGCTCTATTATACATAGTGGTGCCATGCTGATTGTTTATACACAAAGTTCATATTTTCAATGAGCGGATGGCATATATACCAACATTCACTTTGAGAATATCTTTGGTAATAATATGTCAGTATGCTGTGTATTTCAATATAGTGGCCATGTGCCAGAGGTATTTTCCTTTTCAGTGAAATGAGATGTGTATCTTATTAACAAAACACATTTTCCAACAGGACAAACTTTCATCCACAATCTTGCTTACAAAGGACCATCCAAATAGTTTTTGAAAATTTCCAAAGATGAAGAGCTTACAACACTGTCGTAGTCCTCTCCATTACTCCATACCTGAACCAAAAGGTTCTCCCCCAACAGTCTGTTCTTGCTCTTGTAACACAATACCTAGAGTTGTGAGAACTGATGCATACTCTTCAGCCTTTTTTTTTTTCTCCCAACTATAGTTCTCAACTTCTTCTCCAGTTGGTAATTGTTTTGACTCCCTTACAAGTCTGGTCACTTTTCTCTGGATACCAGGTTTATCCATACTTTCATATAATATGGCTTCCAGTTGAACATAATATTCAGAATATTTTCTGACCACTACAGAGTTCAGCAAGACTATAATCCTAACTTCCCTTGGTCTGAACAACTATCCTCTAGCAAATGATTACTCTGGATAAAAAGTTTGGTCCCAAAGTAACACTAAACCTTAAACAGATTCAAAATAATTTTGTAAAAGGCATTTATAAAGCATGTTTAAGTCAATGTAAGGAATCTTAAACAGCTACTGTGGGGGGTTTTAGGTTATTTCTTTCTTAAAAAAAAAAAAAAAAAAGAAAGCCAAAATGTAAGATCAAGAAGCTGGACTCAGGCTATTGCCATTGTAATTAGAAACTTCACAAGGTGCCTCTGACGTGTCTTTTCATTCCCAGCCCTAGATCCTTGCTCTGCTTATATCAGTTTGAATGAGCCATGGAGGAACACTGACCATCAGTTCGATGAGTCTCAAGGATCCCCTCTTTGTGACAACCACGTGGATGGGGAGTGGTACCGCTTCACGGGCATGGCAGGGGATGCCATGCCCACCTTTTGCATACCAGAAAACCACTGTGGAACCCATGCCCCCATCTGGCTCAATGGCAGCCACCCTCTAGAAGGTGATGGCATCGTGCAACGCCAGGCCTGTGCCAGCTTCAACGGGAACTGCTGTCTCTGGAACACCACAGTGGAGGTCAAGGCTTGCCTGGGAGGCTACTATGTGTACCGTCTGACCAAGCCCAGTGTCTGCTTTCATGTCTACTGTGGTCGTGAGTACCTTCTCTGTGCTCTTTTTCCTCCCCAATAAGGCATCAGATGGCATCAGGAAAATACCATATGAAATCCAGTTATGGTAGTATCTCAAGAGTCTGGATAACATTGACTTAGGGCCACAGGTAACTTCAGATTGTGATTTCTGTGATCTGTTCTTGGGTTTCCAAAAATGTCTTAAAGAAACCAAAAGGGAGAGGAGCTGTGACTCTGATCAGTTCTTTTTTATTTTGTCTTTGTCCCATTCAAACAAAACCATTAGAAAATGAAGTGTTGATTTGGGTTACCTACATAGTGGATTTCCAACCATTTTGAGTATGGAGGACTCCTTTTTAAGATCTATATCAGACATTCACAAGGTAGCATTGTGCTTGGTATCCATTGATTTCTTTAAATGATATGTAATGGGAAAAAGCTACTTGAGGTCGGGAGTATTTTTAAAACTAATTTTTGTTTTAGTCCCATCAAAATCTATATGCATTTAAAAAACAGAGTACATAGAAGAGTAGGGCATAACACTTCTTTATTCTATAGCTCATATTTGGTGAGGTTTTAGATTTGCAGAGATCCTATGCCCATGAATATGAAGTTGGGAACCATTGATCTGAATGACAGATGTCCCTGGGCAGTATCCCTATCCATTGGATCACATAAACCCTGAACGATGAGAACCCTCTCAACGTTGTCCATGAACTCATACCTCATGATTGAACTCATGAGGCTTTCTTATGAATGAGAGTGTCCTCTGGTCCTTGCCTCTCATGCAAGGTCAACTTCATCCTTCCACAGATTTTTATGACATCTGCGACGAGGACTGCCATGGCACCTGCGTGGACGCCAGTGAGTGCACATGCTCTCCAGGGACAGTGCTAGGCCCTGACAGGCAGACATGCTTCGGTAAGAAACTAATCTTGAAGTAGAAATGGGCCATTCTGATCAAAAGGACACATCAAACCCTTCCTGATGCAAAGCTCTGTAGTTTTTCTAGTTTTTGTCTCTAAACACTTAGAATGGTGTTTGCCTTTTTAAATTCATGACTAAGGCCTCAAACCAAGTTTATATCGTGTGTGGGGACAGATTAAGTTGCACTGTGCAGTACAGCAGTCTCTAGCCATGTGTGGCTTGGAGCTCTTGATATGTAGCTAGTATGGCCGAAAAACTCAGTTTTAATTTTACCTAATTTTAATATGAAAGCTGATACTTGGCTCAGTCATTGGAAAACTAAAAATGTTTGGGACAACTTTAGTAACCAACTGTAAATTTTATGACTCTAAATACAATCAAGTATTTCCAATGAAAATTTAACATCCAAATTGGGATGTGCTCTAGGTATAAAATACATACTCAATTCATTCAAAAAAAGAAATGGGAAATGTCTCAATTTTAATGTCGATTTTATATTGAGATGAAATATTTTAGACATATTGAATTAAATAAAATGTATTATTAGAATTTTTTATATGACTAATAGAAATTTTTAAATTATTTATGTGGTTTGCATTGTATTTCTGTTGGATGACTTTGGTCTAGAATTATCTAAAGACAAACTCCTACAGCTTCACTACCATAATTTTGGTTTCTCTGAGTAGCAAGAAAGGGGAGTCAGATTATTTTCTAGGAAATCTAGAGTTGTTTACTTGTACACATGTGTTGTTGTCTGTAGCCAGAAGAAAAGAGAGTTGAGAAACCCAAGATTGAAGATCATATCTTTTCCCATTATGAAGCTTTTTGTATTCACACTCAAATAGATTTAAAAGTCATCCAGAGAGAAGGGGAGGATTGGCCCATACCTGCTTCCTCAAGAAAAATAGTAACTGGTCAGAATGGAATGGGGTCTAGGTTGAAAAATAGATAAAAAGATTCTTATTTTAGAAAAATTTTTTTCTTCAGCCTCCTGAATGAACCCATTGACCATTCTATGAGCATGTTTATGCCTCCCCATACCAGCTGTTAGGGCTTTTACGTGATGGACTTTGTGTGATTTAATACTAAAAGGTTTGGGATGTAGGAGAGAATGGTTCTTTTAATCTTCCCTCCCTCCCTCCCTCCCTCCCTCCCTCCCTCAGTCTCTGTCTCTGTCTCTGTCTCTCTCTCTCTCTCTCTCACACACACACACACACACACACACACAGTGTGCTTGGAAAATATTTGATATCATTTTAAGACAGGCTTTGTTTCATTACTTAGCTTTTGTGGGTTTTGTTTGTTTGTTTATTTGTTTTTTAGTTTATTTATTTGAGAGAGAGAAAGCATGTGCATGCAAATGGGGGAGGCAGAGAGAGAGAATCTCAAGCAGACTCCATACTGAGTGTGGAGCCTGACATGGGACTTGATCCCACAACCCATGAGATCATGACCAAAACTGAGCTACCTGGTACCCTTCAGCTTTTGTTTCAATATAACTTTTGACTAGGTAAGATAGTTAGAGAGCAAGGTAGAGAGGCAGAGAGAGAAGCAGGCTCCCTGCTGAGCAAGAAGGCCAATGTGGGATGCGATCCTAGGACCCTGCGATCATGACCTGAGCTGAAGGCAGAGATTTAACTGGCTGAGCCTCAGGTAATCTCTTATATTATCTTATGTATGCTCCCAGGGTTTTTTTAGGCAAATATAAAAAATACAAATATATATGTCTATTTACTGCCCTTTTAAACCCAAAATTTGCATATCATACACATCATTTACCTAACAATTTATCTAGGACATCATTGCCTAGCAGTGCACAGGGGAAAACCCCTAGTTCCTACCTGAGGTCTGCCTGTCAGTTTCAGGGACATCATGAATTCCCTGAAATTAAAGGCAAAATTTTGTATTAACGTGCATATGCCAGTTTTCCTTTTTTTTTTTTTAAATGTAAGATACTTATAATTCTTCATTTTAAATTATGTAATTTTTTTTTCAGCCAGAGTGAAGAGTAAAGGAAAATAATACAATAGCATTATTGGCCAGGATGCTATAATAATATAACTTATGTACCCAGATTTAACCATAGTTAATTTTTTTCTTCCTTTTTCTTTTTAATAAAATTTTACAAATACAAGCAAAGCCATCTCACTCCATCTCCTTTTTCATCTTCCTGTTCCACCCTCCAGGGCTAATCACTGTTTTGAAGTTAGGGTATATTCTTCTGGTCCCTGTTTTTAGGCTTTTATTCTTTGTGTATGCACCCGTAAGAATATATAGCATTATTTTTGTTCTTAAAATTGACATTAAAATGATACTGCATGTGTGAGATTTTCTCTAGAGCAAACCCATAAAAGTGGAATGGCTGGGATGCAGAGTATCTAAGGTTGAAAATGACAACAAACTCCCAAATGACAATGGCTTAAATCAGTGTAAGTGTATTGCTCTCTCACATTAAAAAAAATATATATATATCAGTCTCAAGATAAACTGTGCAGGCTTGGGACAGCATGTGGCCACATTCAGGAGAACTGCTAGCATCTCTGTCACCATCCACCTTCCAGGTGGTAGTGGCTCCAACTCAAAATTAACTATTTCCAATGAAAATTTAGCATCCAAATTGAGATGTGCTCTAGGTATAAGGTACATACTCCAATCATTCAGAAAAGGAGAAGGGAGAGGCAGACTCCCCACTGAGCAGGGAGCGCAATGCAGGACTCTATCCCAGGATCCTGGGATCATGACCTGAGTGGAAGGCAGACGCTCAACCCACTGAGCCACACAGACATCCCTATAGTTTCTATTTCTCCAAGTGCTATGTTTATTTGGTTTCAATTCTGCCTTGTCTTTTTGCTCATTTCTTTTATCTTGGTTACTATCCTTTCTTTTATCTGCTTAGTAATTTTTAAAGTCCTTGTATTATGGATTTTTCTGGATTATTCTGTTATTTCCAGTTGAAAGCCACCCTTTTGTTATCTTGCCAAGTCATTCTCATAGCGGATCAGTTCCTCCTGTGTAGTGTTTCATGGCAAACCACCTTCTGTCGTAATTGTGCTTCTGTGGAACCACACTGACCGCCTGATTTGTGGAGGTTTGACTACAGAGCAGTTTTTCAAATGCTTCTGTCAGGTATCGTTGAAGCTTCGTTGGTCCAAGCCAAATTTTGTACCAATTTCTCAGCTGCAAGTTCATGTTTCAACCATGGCAAGGCCTGACTTGGGGTTCCTGTTGTTTATGAAGGATTTTTCTCTCTCCTGGAGCCTCAGAGCAGGCTTGCTTACTGTGTCCGTGGGCCTTGGGGCAAAGTTCTTCTACTCCCCCCCTTCAGTGTAGGGATATCTTTTCTGAGGTCATGGGGGTAAGCAGTGTTTCTGTTGTAGCTCACCTCCTTTCCTGGGCCCAAGGCCATGCCTTCTATCACCTCATGGGTGTTTAAATCCCAATAACCCCAACCCCAAGCCATGATACATTTAGTTCCCAAGCTTCCTTTTCTTTGTAGAAGGAAGGGGATCGACAATTTTCTCAGCTATGCCTTTTTTAATTGCAAGAGTCCATATCCTTCATCATATTCTTAAAAAGTTTAGCAATCATTGCTTAAGTATAGTGTGGAAATAGTCCAATATTTAAAATAGACTTCAGGGGGTGCCTGGGTGGCTTAGTGGGTTAAGCCTCTGCCTTCGGCTCAGGTCATGATCTCAGTGTCCTGGGATCGAGCCCTGCATTGGGCTCTCTGCTCAGCAGAGAGCCTGCTTCCTCCTCTCTCCCTGCCTGCCTCTCTGCTTACTTGTGATCTGTGTGTCAAATAAATAAATAAAATCTTTAAAAGAATATTAAAAAAATAAAATAGACTTCAAGGGCTTTTGTTCATGTTATAAGAGAAGACTGTTTCACACAAAATTTTTATCAGCTATTTACTTCTGTGATATAAGTTCCTTCAATGTATTTATTTATTTATTTATTTATTTATTAAAAACTTTTTTGTTTTATCCTTCATGTATTTCCACTTTTTTTTTTTAGATTTTTATTTATTTATTTGACAGGCAGAGATCACAAGTAGGCAGAGAGAGAGAGAGAGGTGGAAGCAGGCTCCCTGCTGAGCAGAGAGCCCAATTCGGGGCTCGATCCCAGGACCCTGGGATCACAACCTGAGCTGGAGGCAGAGGCTTTAACCCACTGAGCCACCCAGGCACCCCACCTTTGATGTATTTAAAACACAGCTTTTGATTTACAAGTCTATCTTTATTTAGCAAATCTTCAGGAACTCACTAGAGAAAGTGATATTTACCCATACAAAAAAAAATATGTGAATCTAGGTAACAACAACAAAAAAAAAAACCCAAAACTTCATTTTGCCTGTTTTGGTCTTAGAAGGGGATTAATTGGCAAATGGCTAAGTGCCTTCTGCTCTAGCTGGAGCAAATGGACAAATAACTTGGTTGAAGAGACCAGGTTGATGGAAGTGGTTATAAGGATTATAGCCAAGGAGTCAATGAATCAACAGGCTCTGAAAGATGTGAAGATTCTGCTAAGGGGCTTGGGGAAAGATCGAGTTGCTCAGCAAACAGGACGTAAGTGGTGTGGTTTCTTTCCCACAGATGAAAATGAATGTGAGCAAAACAATGGTGGCTGCAGTGAGATCTGTGTAAACCTGAAAAATTCATATCGCTGTGAGTGTGCAGTTGGCCGTGTGCTAAGAAGTGATGGCAAGACATGTGAAGGTGAGAATGGGCAAAAAGGAATTCAAATCAAGAGCCCAAACTAAACCATTGGCTTATTCTTTGATTGATGTTCATGAAACTGTCCAACATTAGGAGAGAGTCAAGGTTGGGCTGTGTAAGGAAATGACAAAAAGGGGTTCACTGTCATTGAGGACGGTCATGTTGCAGGCAGAATTCAGTGTTGATTTTATCTTCAATATTTGAAAGGAGGGAGTTCTTGCATTTTGCAAGAGGCAGAGAGCCATTTTCTTTTCTTTTCTTTTTTTTTTTAAAGTAAACTCTACCCTCAATATGCTGCTCAAACTTAAAACCCTGAGATCAACAGTCGCAGGCTCTCTACAGACTGAGCCATCCAGGTTCCCACATTTTAATTTGGGAAATAAAAACAAGGTATTATGTGTTTCTCAAATTTTAATGTGCCCATAAATTGTATGGGATCTTTTTAAAATGCAGATGCTGATTCAGTAGGTCTGGGCTCAGGCAAAGATAGTGCATTTCTTTTTTTTTTTTTTTTTTTAAAGATTTTATTTATTTATTAGACAGACAGAATCACAAGTAGTCAGAGAGGCAGGCAGAGAGAGAGGAGGAAGCAGACTCCCTGAGGAGCAGAGAGCCCGATGTGGGGCTCAATCCCAGGACTCTGGGATCATGACCTGAGCTGAAGGCAGAGACTTTAACCCGCTGAGCCACCCAGGTGCCCCAAGATAGTGCATTTCTGCATGACTTCTAGGTGACATCTCTGCCGCAGATCCAAGGAACAAACCTGCAGCAGCAAGATAATAGAGGTGGTAGCATAATAAATGGTTTATAGCAGTGGTTCTCGAAATTCCTGCTAAAAAGAATCACCCAGATGCTTTCACACCTGGCTGTTCCCAGGCCTCTCTCCTGGAAACTTCGTTCAGTGGCGTGGGCCTTACAGTTTGTGTTTTTGCCGAGTTCTGTTAGGTGAGTCTTACCATCTTGGTGGTTGGGGAAACTGGTTCACAAGAAGCCATTTTATTCCCTTTATGCTTTGCATTTATTGGAGATTGATATACTGTGGGGGAGATAGTAACATCCTTTTTTTTTTTTTTTTAAGATTTTATTTATTTATTTGACAGAGAGATCACAAGTAGGCAGAGAGACAGGCAGAGAGAGAGGAGGAAGCAGGCTCCCCGCTGAGCTGAGAGCCCTATGTGGGGCTCGATCTCAGGACCCTGGGATCATGACCTGAGCCGAAGGCAGAGGCTTTAACCCACTGAGCCACCCAGGCACCCCAAGATTTCATTTATTTTAGAGAGAGAGAGAGAGAGCATGAGCAGGGGGAAGGAGCAGAAGGGGAGGAAGAGGGAAGGGAAAAGAATCTCAAGCAGACTCTACACTGAGCGTGGAGCCCCACACGGGGCTTGATCCTACAACCCTGAGATGAAGACCTGAGCTAAAACCAAGCGTTAGGTGCTCAATCGACAACAGGAAGACTATGTATATTTTACGCGATTAAGTAATAAAAAAGAATTTGTAATGTATGTCAAATAGTTGAAATTGTATACTGTGACAATGATAGGAAATTTAGATAATGTCCCTTCTGTAAGGCACATTTGCCCTTGCAAATTATCACAACTAAAATGTTACCATTTCTACTTAAATAAGTCTGAATCTCATGATGTTAGGAGTTGAGGGAACAAAAGAAAAAAAAAACCCATCTCTTTGAAGATTATATAAAGAGATAAATGACTTAATTATCATTTACAGAGGACATATGATTTGTCCCTGAGGCTAATGAATTAGAGGTATAATACTGTTTATAAGAGTTCACTTTATTCTAGTTATATTCAACATAATAAAATACTACCCCAAAAGGAAAAATTATGGCTAGTTCCCATAGTTTATTCCATGCAACAAAGTTTACTGAAGGACCATTAACCAGAATATTAAACTACTGTCCCTTATAACAAGACTAAATGTACTTTAAATTTTATTGAATAAGGATAATGTCTTGAATCTTCCTTAAATCTTAATTATTTTATGTAATAATCTTTGCATATGTGAATATTAATGAAATGTTCCATGAGGAACGTTTGTAATTATTCATGAGCATTTTATTGGAAGTATTACTGTTAATCCTCATATAATTTTAAAACCTAATAATCCCGATCAAAAAGTATTTTAACAGAAGATAAAACTTGTACATGAGTTATACTTTAGCCTTAAGATTCATATTTGAAACCCTTAGGTTTTTTTTTTTTAAGATTTATTTAGAGAGAGGGAGAGAACACACGGTGGGGAGGGTGTGGGGCAGAGGGAAAGAGAATCTCAAGCAGACTCCCCGCTACGTGAGGAGCATGATATAGGGGTCTATCTCGCAACCTTGAAATCAGGACCTGAGCCAAAATCAAGAGTCAGACACTCGACCGACTGAGCCACCCATGTGCCCCTGAAACATTTAAGTTTTATTGATAGTTCAAACATATTTGTTTTCATTGGTTAGTCTGTAAAATTAGACTTTTTTTTAAATAAAAAACTCTTTTTACTTTTAAATAATTTTTATTGTTTTGTTTTATTATGAAAATTATGTTCCTAGAAAATATGGAAGGATAAATGAAAGATAACTAAAATGACCCACAATTCCTCTTGGCTAATCTATCCAAACATTTTGGAATATCCTCATAAGAGACTTAAATCTTTTAAGCTAACTCAGAATTTCAACTTATTTTGTGCTTTGCAGTTTTATACCTGGAAATATCCGGAATGAACATTTACTCCAAACCCTTCGTTTTACAAATATTGAAATTGAGACCCCAGGAAATTAAATGACTTACGGAAGATAATTTTTACTGATTGACTTTTAAGATTTATTTATTTGAGAGAGAGAGAGAGAGAGCATGCACATGCATGAGCAGGGGGAGGAATAGAGGGAGAAGGAGAGAGAGAATCCCAAGCAGACTCCCCACTGAGTGTGGAGCCCTACTTGGGGCTTGATCTTATAACCCTGAGATCACAACCCAAGCCAAAATCAAGAGTCAGATGCTCAACAGACTGAGCCACCCAGGACCCCAGGAAGATCACTTTTAGGGAAAAAAAAAGTCCCATTAATTTTGATCTTAATGTTTTATAGTATATTTTTACACTGTCTTCTACATTGTTATACGTCATGTTCAGCTATTTCAAAAACCCCTAGCTGTACTTTTATCATTTTTAAGTATCCAGATTTATAAACAGGTAATAGCCTAATCTTTCTTAAGTTTTGCAAGGATTAATTCACTGTAAATTTACACTCTATGTATGTTTCACAAAAATTGATTCATCCCCAGTTAATATACTGATGTTCCAAAGAAATATATATTTTTTACTATTATTGAACTGAGAATTCTGACTATAACTGGAAATCAGTTTATATCTTTCCTTGACCATCTGAGATGATTTGAGAGCATTTTTAAAATTTATCTTACCCCTAGAACAAGGGCAGCAAGTTTTTCTGTGTAGGCCAAAAAGTAGATATTTTAGTCTTTGTGGATCATATGGAATCTGTTGAAACTAGTGAAGTCTGCCTTGTAGTGAGAAAACCCTCATAGATAATAGATGAATGAATGGGTGTGGCTGTGTACTTGGAAAACTTACAAGGTTGTTTAGTGGGCCAGAGTTTGATAAAAGATAATGTCTAGAGCCCACAAAAGTCATTAATTTTTCTCTACTAACTATGAAATCATGTGGTAGTTCCCTTAGTTTTCAATTGAATCCTTTTTTCTTGTCCATCTGGTTGAGTATGCTTTTTGAAAATGCAGAATTTATACTTTTTTTTTTTTTTTTTTTTTGGTGGGGCTTGAACCCGTGACCCTGAGATCCAGGCTAGAGCTGACACCAAGAGTTGGACACTTAATTAACTGAGTGAGCCACTCAAGTGCTCCCCACAAATGCAAAACTTTTTAAAAGGGATCTTTTAAAAATGTACTCAAAAGAGGTATGTCACAAAGAGCTTAGTGGAGTGGACCAAGTGTATTGTCCAGGCTTCATTTGTATGTGCTGTCAGCCTGAGATACATATCCCAGTTCCACTATTACTAGAGATTTGAGGGGAAGGTCTGGCGATCCAACCAACTGACAATAACTAACTCATCCACCTAACTAGTCTAGTTACATTTCTATTCTGTCATTCCCCTCTACATCAGTAATACTCTATAAAATTTGAAAATGGGTGCCATAAATATTACAGCAATTAAGAAGTGACTTGTGGGTCTTCCTCCCCAAAACTGTAATACCACCCTGAGAAAAACAGACAAATCCAGACTGAAGGACGTTCTACAAAATGACCAGCTGAAGAGGTTAGAGCTTATGCATGTTGTAAGATTGCTCTTCATAGCAAACACATTCTTTTCCATTTTATTTTATTTTACTTTTTCAGTGTTCCAAGATTCATTGTTTATGCACTACACCCAGTGCTCCATGCAATACGTGCCCTCCATAATACCCACCACCAGGCTCACCCAACCCCCTACCCCTCTCCCCTCCAAAACCCTCAGTTTGTTTCTCAGAGTCCACAGTCTCTCATGGTTCATCTCCCCCTCCGATTCTCCCCAACTCACTTAAACAGTTTTTTGTGGGCTTCCTTACATGATCAGTGGCTGAATTAGGCTCCAGTGATACTGTGGTGAGCCAATGTATTCCCTGATGCCAGGTGCCATCCCAAGAACCAGAATCCTCAGGGAAGAGGCCTGCAAGGTCATGTCCTTTTCCTTTGGTTTTATTGCAGATGTTGAAGGATGTCACAGTAACAACGGTGGCTGCAGCCACCTTTGCCTCGTGTCCGGGAAGGGCTACCAGTGTGAATGTCCCCGGGGCTTGGTGCTCTCTGAGGATAACCATACATGCCAAGGTAGTACATGGATGGGCTCAACCTCTGCTCCTCACCCCCCCACCCTGCCCCAAACCTCCCTGCCTTCCTCACTCAACTAGGTCAAGATTCTCATCTATTAGAACACCAGCTCCTTCGCCAGCGGGTATCCCTGCATCTTTACTCTGGGATCATTCAAAACAGAAGCTCTCTAAGAACATATTACCAAAAAGTTAATTTTCCTTTGCTTTTTAAGAACTTGTAGTTAAAAAAACACAGAGCAGAAAATTGACCACCTAAGCCAGTTTGAAATGTATAGTTCAGTAGTGTTTACATATATTCGCATGGTTGTGCCACAGATTTCCAGAACTTTTTTGTCTTGCAAAACTGAAACTCTATATCCTTGAAAGAACAATTCCCCATTCCTCCCTCCCCCCCCCCAACCCCCGCCCTGGCAACCACTATTCTATTTCTATTTCTATGAAGTCGATTACTTTAGATACCTCGTGTAAGTGGGGTCCTATGGTATATGTCTTTTTGTGATTGACTTATTTCCCTTTTCCTTATATCCACCAGGTTCATCCATGTTGTACCATATGACAGGATTTCTTTCCTTCGTAAGGCTAAATAATAGTCCATTGTATTTATATACCACATTTTGTCCAGCCACTCATCCAATGATAGGCTCTTCAATTACTTCTATGGTTGAGATATTGTGGACAATGCGGCTATGAACAAGGGTGCGCAGATATGTCCTTGAGATCCAACTTTCAATTCTTTTTGATATATGCCCAGAAATGGAATTGCTGGGTCATACAGTTTTCTTTGCTTTTTACTTACGAATATCCCCCCTAATTTCTATTATTAGTAGTATAATTAGTAGTTAATTTTGAAGTCTAAGACACTGATGCAGTTCCTTTCTTTTCTAACAGATAATTGGGTAGTGAAACTAAGCTAAAAGCCTTAGAGAACTGATTTTTCTCCCTACAATTACAATACGAGCATCAACAATCTTCTGACAGCTATTTTCTGGAAATCGAGTTATTTATGTTCAGAATCTTAACTCATCCATCTAGCAAATATTTAATGAGCACCTACCTTTGATTTCTTTACGCTGTGTCATTGTTATGATATATTCTCACATATTTTCTGACAGTAGCCATAAATATTCCTTTTAGGGTATTTGTAGAGCCTGGAAAAGTGAACACAGGAACACTAAAGAAAAGCAACCCTTTTCATATGAAGTTAAAGTAGAATTTATAGTCAGCATTTATGGTTTACTGAACAATGCAAGGATAATTTGGAACTTTTCCCCAAGTACGCTAACGTTGTTTTTATTACCTCTGTTTTATGAGACATAATTAATGGTAAAGTCAAAGCAGTACTGTTATGTAATTTAAGCATATATCAAAGCAGTACTTTTTCTGTATCGACAATAAATTGTTTGTACTAAAAGTTATTCTGTGAGGTGTTTCAGTTCATAGAACTACTCTATCCATACTTTGAAATAAATGTTGAATCAAAACTTGAGCAATATTTCCTCATTTGGAGATCAGTGTGTTTGAGGAGAATTATTTGACCACAGCCTGGGGAGTTAGGAGTCCTGGTTTCATTCACCAACTTGTTTTGAGTCTCTTAGATTTCCTTGAGGATGGAACAAAAAGCTCAAGTTGTGGGAGGGCAAAATTATTTCTCCTAGAAGCGTTCCTTATCCTTCTCCCAATTCAGATTTCTCCATTCTAACAGTGCCCCCTTTCTGCCACAGTCCCCGTGTTGTGCAAGTCGAATACCATTGAAGTGAGCATCCCCAGGGACCTGGTTGGCGGTCTGGAGCTCTTCCTGACCAACACCTCCTGCAGAGGAGTGTCCAATGGCACCCACGTCAACATCCTCTTCTCCCTCAAGACGTGTGGCACGGTGGTTGATGTAGGTTCTTGTGGAGGACACTTGGGGGATGACCAAAAGTCAGTTATTTGAGAGGTAGTTGACAGAGGTATGCTGTGTGGCTTGTCATAGATGAAATATTTCCACATGAAAGAATGCAGCTCAAAAACTCATATGCCATTCATTTAACATGTGTATTATTGAGCATCTGCTGTGGTCCTGGCCCTGTGAGCACAGGGAGGTGAGAAGAATTCTGTTCCTTCCTTTCTTCAGTAGTCCTGTCTTTCTGATATAGCAGACATTTCCCTGAGTGCATCAGCCCCAGCACCAGGAGGCTGGTTGCATCTCCTCTGACCAATTTTTTTACTTGAAGAAAACAAGTAAAGAATTGATGAGGGTTCATTTATGAGGTAAACAGATGAGTTCAAGTGTTGAACTAGGTAGAGGGAAGAGGTTTGTACTTTCATCTAAGAATGTGCACCGGAGTCTGAGGGATATGAAATAAGATTCTTCATTTTGGGGAACATACGCAGTAGGCCTGAGATGACAACACACACACACAATATAAATAAGAAACAGTGATAGAGACGACAGGTGCCATTGCAGTCTAGAAAGGGACAAACACTGGAGCAGTCAAGACAAGTGGGCCTTGAACTGGGGCAGAAGCCTGTGTGTGGCTTATCCAGACTGAGAGGAAAAGAAAGGCCGTTTCGGATGGGAAACAAGTGAGCCAGTGTCAGAGATGGGAATATTTAAGGCTTATGCTGAGTGTATGGGCGGTGCAGACTGACTGGCAAGGAACACGTATTGGAAAAGGAAACTGGAGACGTAGGTGGGGGAAGACTGTGCTTCTAAGGATCTGCCTAGAGTGTGAGGGTGAGATATTTGGGCTTTATCCCCCAGAGTGAGGTTGCTGGCGCTGTAACGATGAGATCAGCAGTGTACGAGATGGATGGAAATAAAGGGGACCTGGGTCCAGAAAATCAGGGCCGCGGTTCTTGCAACCATTTAATTAAACAAATATTTATTTATTGAATTCGATGAATAGAAAATTAGGAATCTAATGAGACCTAGGGTGGGATATGGGGGTGCTATCCCAGGAGAAGGGGGTCCCACTTCAGGCAAATTGTGTTTGTTGTATCTGTGAATAATCGAGTGGAAATGCCCTGGGGTGGGTTGGAGTTGCTAGCCCTCAGGGGAGCAGACAAGGCTGGAGATAAAGAACTGAAAGCTGTCTGCATAAATGCGGTAGCTAAAGTTCTCTGCTTGTGGATGAGTTCAGCACAAGGTCAGGCCACAGCCTGATCAGCAGGTCTAGGATTCCAGAAAAAAAAATAATATACTGAAGCCATTCTTTCCTAAAATACCAGAGCTTTGAATTTGCTGATTCTGCATAGTTCAGGTTTAATGAGTAATACTCCAAAGGAATGTGTGGGTTGACCATGGAGTAGTATATAAAATTCTTAACAGAGCATCTTGCTGAAAAGAGGAGAAGAGATGTTTTAAAAAGCCCTCAAGCTTCAGCAACCAAATCTCTAATTGTTTTGATGGAAATAGAAGTGTGGAGAATGTTACAGTCAAGAATGGGATTGGGTGGGAGGGTGGGATAGGGTGGATTGGGGAGTTCTGGAGAAATAGACATACAGTCTTTTTCCTCTCCTGGCCCTGGCCTGGCTCAGGTGGTAAATGACAAGATTGTGGCAAGCAACCTTGTGACAGGCCTACCCAAGCAGACCCCAGGAAGCAGTGGGGACATCATCATCCGAACCAGCAAAGTGCTGATCCCAGTGACCTGCGAGTTTCCACGCCTGTACACTATTTCAGAAGGGTACGTTCCCCACCTTCGAAATACCCCCCTGGAAATCATGAGCCGCAGCCATGGAATCTTCCCATTCACTCTGGAGATCTTCAAGGACAATGAGTTTGAAGAGCCCTACCGGGAAGCTTTGCCCACCCTCAAGCTTCGAGACTCCCTCTACTTTGGCATTGAGCCTGTGGTGCACGTGAATGGCTTAGAAAGCCTGGTAGAGAGCTGCTTTGCCACCCCCACCTCCAAGATCGACGAGATCCTGAAGTACTACCTCATCCAGGATGGGTAATTATGCTGCTTACACGATTTATTATCCCCAGCTCACACCCTATTTCTCCCATCCAAGTACTAACCAGGCCCGACCCTGCTTAGCTTCCGAGATCAGACGAGATCGGACGTGTTCAGGGGGCCGTAGACTCACACCCGATTTCTAAGTGCACAGCATACCTGGTCATTTCCCAAAACAATAGGACACTTCCGTGAGCTCTGAATTGTTTCAAAAACCATTTTTTTTAAGATTTTTAAATTTATTTATTTGACAGACAGAGATCACAAGTAAGCAGAGAAGCAGGCAAAGAGATTGGAGGAAGCAGGCTCCCCGCTGAGCAGAGAGCCCGATGCAGGGCTTGATCCCAGGTCCCTGGGATCATGACCTGAGCTGAAGGCAGAGGCTTTAACCCACTGAGCCACCCAGGTACCCCTCAAAAACCATTTATTGACATTGGAGGTAAAAACTGGTGAGGGAGCAGGAAGTTGAGAATGACTCCAAGGGGTCTAGCACGGATGACCAAATAAATGCCGTTAACCCCGATGGACGGCCATAAAGAGAAAAGCAAATTTGAGGTGAAATATTGAATACAACAAGTCCAGATAATATATTGAATTGTAAATGTCTTCAGGATACATGGGAAAAAAAGGTCAGCAGGCAGTTGGAAATGTGTATCAGACCCAGGAACAAGGTCAGGACTAGAGAGAGATAAAGGACCAAGAATCATCCCTGTTTCTATTGGAAACATAGGATTGATTAACCTGATCAGAGAGAGAGTAGAGCGTGAGTGTGAGTGTCGGAGCTGGGGGAAGGCAGATAATTGCAAGTGGATGGGGAAGAGGAAGCAGCAAATGTCAACTCTTTTAGGAAGCTTGGTAGTGAAGGAGAGACAAGAATTACTTAGAAGGTTTTAGGAGAAGAACGATCAAGTGAAATTTGGTTTTTGTTTGCTTGTTTTTGTTGTTGTTGTTGTTTTTTATTTATTTGACAGAGAAAGAAATCACAAGTAGGCAGAAGTAGGCAGAGAGAGAGGGAGAAGTAGGCTCCCTGCTGAGCAGAGAGCCCGATGCAGGGCTCGATCCCAGGACCCTGAGATCATAACCTGAGCTAAAGGCAGAAGCTTAACCCACTGAGCCACCCAGGTGCCCCTGTTTGCTTGTTTTATACAAAAGAGATTTCCTTATTTCCTAAAGATCCCTGGATTGAGAACTGTGTGTGTCTCACGAGCCTGTTGGAGGCCTAGCAGTTGTCACACCCATTGCTCCCATTCCCAGGAAAATGACACGCAAACCCCATATTCATGGTAGAATCTTATCAGTTTCTTCCTTGTTCTCAGTGTCAGGTGGGACATAGCTCAGGTAGGGTCAGGACCCGCAGCTCAATGAAAGGGAAATGGTGTAACAAGAGCACCACCTGGGCCGTGCCCTGGGCTAATGGGCTTCATGGACTCTGAAACGTCTGCTTAGTTTTTCTCTACTGGCTCTCTCACTGCAGGCATCCTCCATCTGCTGCCGTCAGTCTCTTGCACAGGGATGTTCAACTTTAAAGCACATGGGATCAACCAAGAGGCTTTTGTGGAAGAAGCAGTACCCCCAGACTTGTTCTCTCTGTTCCGCTCTCTTAATTCCAGCCCTTACCTTTCACCTGGATAGCAAAAACAGCCTCATGACAGCCCCCTGAATCCCAACTCTCAAATCTCAGCTCCAAGAATCCCTGGGTAACCAGTCAAAAGACAAACAAATGTTAAAAATTAGGGGGGGGGGATATATATATTCAGATCCCTGCTAAAAACCTTTGATGACTCTTGATTTCCTTTGATTGGTAAATTTAACTGTTTGCCAGCAGGAGTACTTGTAGCCTCCCTTAGCTTGTTTTCAGAACATGGAAAATGTATCATTCTGAGCTGCTTTGCATGGCCAGTAACAGGTCTCATAGGTGTCTGCAGTTCTTTGGATTTCTTGCCATCTTAAAATTACCTCCACAAAGTTTTAAAATGAAAAGTAGAAAAAACATTTATTATTTCTTTTTTTTTAATTTGTATACCTAATGCTAAGGAGATTAAGGAATGGATTTACTTTTAGTGGGGAGTAGATGTGGGTTCCTTTATTTTTTTTAATGGCTGTATTGGAGTACCATTCTCATACAACGAGTATACACATTGAAAGTGTACAGTTTGGTAAGTTCTGATGTATGCATTCATGAAGCCATCACTACAGTCAAGATAGGGAACATTTCTCTCATTCCAAGAGTCTTTTCCTACCCCTATATTTACTTTTTGCAAAAATAAATGCATAATCATAACTCGCTTACTGACAAAACATGTAATCTACAATCTTAGTAAAGCTCGTAAAGTTTATTTATATATTTGTTATTCAGATGCTCAGTTAAGGACCAACTGCTTTTTATTTTAGAGAGTTCTAAGAAGTTGTGCTTTTTAATTTTCTAGCCCTTAGCACATACAGAATTGCTAAAAAAAAAAAAAAATGCTGCAGGAGAAATTAAAATGCTTAAAAGCCAGAGGCAAGAATTAAAAAACACAGCAGTAGAAGTCTATTTAGTAAACAGGCAAATGGTCCCATCTCTGGCGCAATAATGGAGAGTACTGGAATGGTGTCTGTGAGACGATTCCTCCAGATAAAATCCAACTCTGAGCTTGGCTCACAGGGCCTCACACACAGACCTCTGCCCTCTCCAGTTTCTGTTCCCAGCAAAGGGAACTACAGGCAATTCCCAGACTCTATTATTTCCTACACCTTCCTCGCTGCACCTGCTGTTTCCTCTGCAGAAATCTCCTCCTTTTCTTCCTGCCGATCTCTCCCTGTTCCTTCAAGATTCAGCTGGATTTTTTTCCTCCATGAAGCCTTCCTTGATTCCTTCTGCCCTGAGCTGGAAATTTTCCTTCCTTTTCTTTTCCCCTCTATGCCTATCCTATAGTAAGGGTCATTAAATAGCTGTCAAATGAACTATTGAATGGACATTTATCATAATAATCATCTGAAGCAAGTCCAGAGCCCTAAAATAAACATAATGCAGTAAGCTTACATTTATAAATTGTTTGATTATTCATTGTTCTCAGCTTGCATTTAAATCAGGTCATTTTCCCCTGATAGTTAACACAGCTCATTCACCTCTCTCCAGTTTTAGTTGGTGTATGCTCAGAGAATTCAAAGCAACTTAGTACAAACCTCAGCAAAGTAGAATTAGAAAGGTAATCTCCAGAAAAAGAAACATTGAATTCCAAAGTGAAACATTGGACAACTTTTGAGTAATCGATTATTTTGGATTATCCTATACCATCCTTACTTTCTTTTAGCACGTGAACTTAGAGTTGATGAACCACATTGTCTAATCACAGCAAACACCAGGTCAAGAGCCAGAATTTGTCCTGGGTCCCATTCTGTAGTATATTACCCCGTAACAACGCTTCCTGCCTCATTTTCTCTCTTAAAGAAAAACAGTGGTATTTTTAGGTAAAAATAATTGAAAATGGTGAGGCCCTTAGATGAAAAGTGCCATTTTGATATCATGTTACTATTTTTGTCCTAGATACAAACTGTAAAGTTCTTGACATCACAGACTATATTATTCATCTTTATATCCTCTGCGGCTCCCAAAAGAACACGTTGCACAGATTAGATATGTGATAGGTGTTTGTTACAGAACATAATCAAAAGATGGTATATATTAACTTTACCTCAAGAAAATGAAAATGAGAACATAAATACAAGAAATAACTGAAACTGCATAATATATTTAGATTCTCTTCAGGTCAGGGGAATATGGACTAGGGGTATTATATATCACAATGTCTTCTTTTTAAACAGTTTTGTTGGGTTTTTTCAACTGCACTGAAACAGTACTTAGCAATGAACTAGAAAGTGGTCTGTAAGCATGCGAAGCAAGGATCCAGTTTCATAGACTTTTCTTTCTGGTCCCCACATTTTTTTTTTTTCCTGGACTGGTAGACAAGAACTAATAGGTATCCAGAAAAAGGAAAATACACCCAGAATTTAAAGTTCTTTTAAAATTCACAGTGGGAAAGACGATACAAGTGTAATCCCTGTCCTCTCAGGAGAAAATGTTCATCAAATACTAAACCTTGGTCTCAAAATTGAGAACCAGTAAGATTTCTTTTCCCCAGCTAACCTTGAGGTGAGCCTAGGACTTTCACTTTAAGCAGTAGACCTGCGATGGAAACCCCAAGACCCTATCAAACTACAACTTTGCATAAATGTGGGGAAAAATGAAGTTCAGCAATTGGGAGGAGACTGAACCTTCCCAGTAGAACCAGTTACTCTCTCTGGAACTTAAATCTTTATGCAGCTCGGAGTCGCACACATTGGGGCTTGCTCGCCTTTGAACCCTCATTGGGGGTTAGTGTGTATTAGGTGCCCAATAAATATTTTTGAAATCTCAAACCAATCATCATGCATGTGAATGCAGAATTCCTGTGATGTATTACAAATGAAAATACAGTCTTCCAGAGATATCTTCATTTCAAAAGGTATCTTTGAAAGAAATGTGGTTGCTGTTGCTCCTGCTTCAATACATTGAAGTATCGAGAGGTCCTCGTGCCCAGTTCGTGGGTACAGAGAATGAGAGATGGGACAGACAGTGCTCATGAGCAGGGCTGAAGATGCCTTTGTAGGGAGGAAATTTCATTTTTCCTTCATTCTCAAAAAACTTGAGTTCAGCCCAGCCTCCTCCACCCAGTCAGCATTTCTTTGGACTAAACACATTGAACCAGATTGTTTTTCCATCTCTGCTGAAGCCATCAAGTCTTACGTGTTCTCCTGTCCTGCTTTTAGTTGTGTTTCAGATGACTCCGTGAAGCAGTACACGGCCCGGGACCACCTAGCAAAGCATTTCCAGGTCCCGGTCTTCAAGTTTGTGGGCAAAGACCACAAGGTGAGCTGAACACCTTTATCTTGGAATCCACACCGCACCCCACCCCCAGGCCTGGCCCTCATTTCTTGGCGTGCCTGTTTGTTGATATTCTCTGTGAGCTCACAGTTGGGATCTGCATTACCTCTATGAGAAACACTGCAGAACTAGCTATCTAGAATGTCACAATTATCTGCCTTTCTTCCAATAAAATCACTGTGTTTGTTTAAAGAAAATACTATATGATCATAATTTTATTTTTTTTATTTTAAGTTCTATTTTATTTAAGTCATTTCTATGCCTAGCATAGGGCTCGAACCCACAACCCTGAGATCAAGACCTGAGCTGAGGTCAAGAGTCAGACACCTAACAGACTGAGCCACCCAGGCGCCCCTATATGATCATAATTTTAAACTGTTGTGGGGGGGGGTATGGTTGAAAAGCCTGTGTGGTAGTCGTATGGCAAAGTATATGGGCAGAAAATTCACAGAAAAGACCAATAGTGATTTGTTCAGTGAAAACAGTACTTAAAATGCCAATTAAAACAATTATAAGACATTATTTTATACATATTAACTTTATAAAAATTATAAATCACAATGCTTGCAAAGTTATAGGGAGAAGTATATAGTGGCAGTATAAATGGGTACGGTTTCTGGAAAGTTGTCTGGTAATATGTAGTAATAACCATAAAATCATCAGATTCTTTTATTTAAAAATTCTAATTCTGACAGTTTCTCAAAAACAAGCAAGCAAAAAAAGAAAAATGAGATTTGTTGGATGTTATAGAGAAGGAGAAAAGTCCCCCAACAGGGTTACTACATATCTATTAGTGTAATATTAAGCAGTTATTAAAATAAGAAATATAGAGAAAGGAGATATTAAAAGTCATATGTCATAACAATTTACATGCATATTGAGTATGCTGCCTTTTTTTAAAAGATTTTATTTATTTATTTGACAGACAGAGATCACAAGTAGGCAGAGAGGCAGGCAGAAAGAGAGAGGAAGGAAGCAGGCTCCCCGCTGAGCAGAGAGTCTGACGTGGGGCTTGATCCCAGAATCCTGGGATCATGACCTGAGCTGAAGGCAGAGGCTTTAACCCACTGAGCCACCCAGGTGCCCCAAGTATGCTGCATTTTTGAAAAACACACATACACAGAGGTTATAAGAGGCAATAGAGAGAATGTTAAGGTGCAAACTTTGTTGTTGTTGTTGTTGTTGTTTTTCCAGTAGAATTGTTGAAACATTTAAACCAAAGGAAGTTTAAGAGACCAACTATCTTTTCCACACTGCATTTAAGTGAATTCATGTCCTTTCCTGTTATATCACTGTTCTAGAACAACTGTTAACCATGATGGCTAATCCTGATCTCCCTCCCCAAGCAGGCAGCATGATTTGGGAGGTAACTTATAGAAAGAAGCTTGGACAAAGAACTTGATATTTTACACAGAAGCATGCCGGCACCGATGTTTTTCCCAGCCTTTGATGTGAAGAACAAAGATGTTAACGTTATTAGGTGTTCCCTTCTCGAAGGTCTCTCCTGTCCCTATACAAAGGCAGGAGTTATGCTTGGGGGGGGCGGGATTAGATCACCCACATGACTCCATATGTTTGCCCACCTGACCAATGGTGTGAATCTGGGCAAGTTGTCTAACTTAAGTCTCAGTTTCCTCATCTGTAAAATGGGGATGACGACATCCACCTCAGAGGGCTGTTGTTTATATGAAATGAGATACTACATATGAAACATCTGGTGTAGCGAGTGTCTGGCTTCCAGAAGGGGCCCTACAAGCGGCATCTGTTATCACTATTTTTGTTATCATTTATGGTAACTATCATTTATGGTCTTTCTAGGAAGTGTTTCTGCACTGCCAGGTTCTTGTCTGTGGACGGCTGGATGAGCATTCCCGCTGTGCCCAGGGCTGCCACCGGCGAGTACGTCGTGAGGCAGTGGAAGGAGAGGATACAACTGGTCCCCAGAGCCAGATGCTGACAGGTGGCCCGATCAGGATCGACTGGGAGGACTAGGACCACCCCACACCTGACTCCTGGCTCTGGGTTGCCCTCCTCTTTAGAACTTCTCCCCACTGAGAACATCAGTCAATACCCTAGAACACGGCATTCTTTAAACCTCATACTGTGGGTTTAGACAGACTTCCAGAATGGACTCATTCTGATTCGGGCCCCTGGACTGGGAAAAGTCACTTCACTGCTGACTGACCTGACTCACATGGGGCTTCATCCTCCTGACATTGAAAGGTGCACTGTCCATTCCAAAAGCAGCTCATTCCATTTCCCACGTTTCCTCCCTACAATAAAACACCCAGTGTAGGATGCAATAGAACCACTACAACCAAAAGTTGGGCATGATACTACAAACTACAAACTTAAAATAAATAGTTGCTTGAAATTATGACTTAAATACCCAATAACTCCTTAAGTATGTAAATAATAATTATACCCTGAAATTTCGATTCAAGCACAGAATATTTACAGGGGATTAGGAAGTTTATTGATGTAAGTGTGTACTAAAAGTTACTATTTGATTTTCCTCTTGCATGATGTTTTCTTTTTTGAAGTTTTTATACCATCTTAAGTGAAATATTTTCAATTAAATTTATTAACATGGGGGGCACCTGGGTGGCGCAGTGTGTTAAGCATCCGACTCAGTTTTAGCTCAGGTTCTGATCTCAGATTGAGCCCCATGTTGGGCCCCATTCGATGTGGAGTCTGCCTGAGATTCTCTCTCCCTCTGCCCTCCTCTCCCCTCCAAAATAAATAAATAAATCTTTAAAAAGTTTATTAACATGGGGTGCCTGGGTGGCTCAGTTTCTAAGCATCTGCCTTTCGCTTGGGTCATGATCCCAGGGCCCTAGGTTCTGGCCCCGCATTGGGCTCTCTGCTCGGTGGGAAGCCTGCTTCTCCCTCTCCCACTCCCCTTGCTGTGTTCCTTCTCTCACTGTGTCTCTCTGTCAAATAAACAACAAAAAAAATCTTTTAAAAAAATTTATTAACTTGCATGTAAGAGGTTCAACGACTGAACTGTAAAAAAAATTAAAATTTGGTACCATATGCTCTGTTACTTGGCATTCTATGCCCCGAGAATAAATTATACCATAATTCATTGAAATAAATATTATAATATTGAAATAAATATTATAAACCACAGGAATAAATTTTATATGCAATTTTATATTTTAAATGTTATATGCAATTAAATCCAATTTCTTAATATGCCAATTAATTTTATGGCTTTACATAAGACCAAGAGACAGTTTTTTTTCTTGTTCTCTTTAGAAATGGTTATCATCAACAATTCTTAATGGAACGAGTAAAATCAACAAAAGGAAGAGAAAAGACAGAATGACCTAGGTCAACAATTGGCCAACTTTTTATGTCAAGGGCCAAATGGTAAACATTTTAGGCTTTCTGGCCAGTCTGTCACAACTATTTTATCTCTGAGGTTGTAGCACAGGAGTGGCCGTAAACAAATGAAAACACAGTTGTGGTCCAATAAAACCTCACAGAAGCAGATGTTAGGCCTGCTTTGGCCCATGAGCTTCACTTGCCAATCCTTGACCTTAGTGGACCTCAGCCTTCCCAGTGCATCAGAATCAGGTGGGGAGCATTTATAAAACACCAATAGGTAGATAACAGGCCCAGAGATTCTTTGTTTCTTACTGCTCCTCTGGTGATTCTAATTTGCAGTCAGGATTGAGAACCATAGTTTAGGGACTGACCATTTGTAACCCCTCAGATTTCAGGGAATTCTCCTAGCTATTTTCAGTGGCAATTTTTACCACCATTTGTAACCCCTCAGATTTTAGGGAATTCTCCTAGCTATTTTCAGTGGCAATTTTTACCACATACTTCTCAGATTTTAACATGATACTAACACCACTTAGGAATTGGGAATATCAACAAGAATAGTTCATTGAAGGAAAAAAATGGAACCTCAGAGACCTAACTCCATCTGACCTCCACCTTCATTGGCCTTATCCAGGTAAGTCTCTGACCTTGCCCTCCTGTTCTCAGCTCTCCAGCACCAGTCGGAATGATGGTTATCAATGGTGGAACTTACCAGGATGGGTTCTGTTCTCCTCTAAGTGAAACAGAAGCAGAGTGGTCAGAATGGAAGTCATTCATCTCTTTTCTAAAAAATACTATTTATTAAATGTGAGATGCTTACTGGTAACTGAAAGATGGACCAGAGGAAAGTCCTTACCTCCCAAATGGGTGGACTCTCCAATATTTCACTTGTGAATATAAAAACCAAGTCCAGGAATCCCAGTATTTTAGTCTTTATTTTAGTCTTTATACTAAGAACTGAATTGCCAGGAAAATGTGTCTCGGTTGGAAAAACCATTGTTAAAATGAAGAGTGGTCTTCAAATCACTCCATGGCTTTTTTCCAATTCTCCTCAAGGGATGGGACTCACTTCTCAGCAGCAGAACAAGGTTTTCTTTCTCTTGCTTTGTGATATCCAAACTTTTGGAAGCAAGGATGAGACACATCTGCCACACTATCATCTCAGAGTCTGAGAGCCGTGGTGCCACTCAAAACCAGGAAGGGATCACCTCTTTCTCATAACTCTACTTTCTCCTCTTCTGCACAGATACAAGCTGCCCGTTGGCTATTCATAAAAGGTCGGCAGCCCAGGGTCCATACGGTATTGAACACAGTATCAGCCAGAGAATCACAGGCTACTTGAAAAAGATGAAGAGAGAGAAAAGGTTAATATACAAGACTACCCCAAGTAGTTTGAGTAATTTTAAGAAGCAATGTCATTCCAAGGATGACATGATACCTGGAGGAAAGTAAAGGCAGTAATCCAAATACAGAATTAAAAAGAAAAACACACATGAAAGAGAAGCTTTTTCATAAGCTTCTATTCAATCTAGTAAAGCAGAATATACTTTGGGATACCCTTCTTTTATGGGCCTCCAGGTCACAATCATGCTTAGCAATCAAAAGCTCCCATACCACTATGCTCACTCCATGGAAACCCTATCATTTTTGCAGAACACTCCCTAAATAACTCTACTGTGTTTCCAATAACTTTTTCTGTTCAAGTGTGGGATGAGTAACAATTCACTCATTGGAAAAACATGTATGTTGGTCAATAATTCTCTTAGGCATTAGGGACACAAAGACCAAAGAGATCCCAATCCAAGTACTCATGGTTTGGACAGAGAGGTGGACAGGATGGATAAGTAAACAAAAGTTTACACTACACCATTATGGAAGTGATATCAAGTTTGTATGGGAACCCACAGAAAGAGTCTTTCTCTTTCAGGGGTAAGAGTTATTAGGGAAGACATCTCAGAACACCTTCCATTAGAATTTTGATAGGAACTATATTGAATCTGTAGATTGTTTTGGGTAGTATGCACATTGTAAGAATATTAATTCTATTAATCCATGATCACTGAATATCTTTGTGTCATTCTCAGTTCTCCCATCAGTGTCTTATAGTTTTCAATGCACAGGTCTTTCACCTCCTTGGTTAAGTTTATTCCTGGGTATTTTATTCATTTGATGCAATTGTAAATGAAAAATTTTTAAATATCTCTCTCTGATAATTCATTATTAATGTATAGAAACAAAACTGATTTTGTATATTAATCTTGTATCCTGTGACTTTACTGAATTTATTAATTCTAACAATTTTTTGGTGGAGTCTTTAGGGTTTTGCATATATGATATCCTGTCATCTGCAAATAGTGATAATTTTATATCTTCCATTTCAATTTGAATGTCTTTTATTTCTTCTTTTTGTCTAATTGCTCTGGCTAGAATATTTTTAATACTATGTTAAATAAAAGTGGTGAAAGTGAGCATTCTTGTCTTATTCCTAATCTTAGAGGGAAAGCTTTCAGCTTTTCTCCATTAAGCCTGATGTTAACTGTGGGCTTGTCATGTGTGGCCTTTATTATGTTGAGATATATTCCCCCTATACCTATTGTGTTGAGAGTTTTCATCACAAATGGATATTGAATTTCATTAAATGATTTTTCTGCATCTATTGAAATGACTGTATGATATTTATCCTTCATTTTGTTAATGTGTTGCTTCGCATTGTCTGGTTTTCTGATGTTGAACCATCCTTGCATCCCTTGAATAAATCCCACTTTATTATGATGTCTGATCCTTTTAATGTATTGTTGAATTAGGTCTGCTACAATTCTGTTGATGGTTTTTGCATGTATGTTCATCAGGGATATTAACCTCTAATTTTCTTTTCCTGAGGTGTCCTTGTCTAGTTTGCGTGTCAGGGTAATGCTGGCCTCATAAAGTGAATTTGGAAGTGCTGTGTCCTCTTCTGTCTTTTGGAAGAGTTTGAGAAGGATTAGTATTGATTTGTTTTTAAGATCTTATTTATTTATTTGACAGACAAGTAGGCAGAGAGGCAGGCAGAGAGAGAGAGGAGGAGGCAGGTTCCCCACAGAGCACAGAGCCTGATGCGGGGCTTGATCCCAGGACCCTGGGATCATGACCTGAGCTGAAGGAACAGGCTTTAACCTACTGAGCCACCCAGGCACCCCGGTATTAATTTTTTTAAATGATGAAGCTATTTAAACGGATGATTAATTCTTCTTTAAATGTTGAAGCCACTTTAAAAATCCATCTTGTTCATTTGTTGGGAGATTTTTAATTGCTGATTCAATCACACTACAATGATCAGTCTATTCAGATTCTATTTTTTCATTATTCAGTCTCGGTAGGCTGTGTGTTTCTAGGAATTTACCCATTTCTCCTCTGTTGTCCAATTTGTTGACATATAATTATTCATAGTAGTCTCTTGTGATCCTTTGTATATCTGTGGTATCAGTTGTAATGTCTCCTCTTCCATTTCTGATTTTATTTCTTTGAGTTCTCTCTCTTTTACTCTTAGTGAGTCTAACTACAGGTTTGCCTATTTGTTCACCTCTTAAAAAAGAGCTCCTAATTTCATTTATCTTTTCTATTGTGATTTTAGCCTTCATTTCATTTATTTCTTCTCTGATATTTGTTATTCCCTTTCTTTCACTAACTTTGGGTTCCATTGCTTTTGTTTTTCTATTTCCTTGAGGAGTAAAGCTAGAGTTTCTTCAAGATCTTTCTTTTTTTCTTGATATAGGTATTTATGGCTATGAATTTCCCTCTTAGAATTGTTTTTGATGCATCTCATAAGTTTAAGAATGTTGTATTTTCATTTTCATTTGTCTCAATATATTTTAAAAAGATTTGTTTATTTTAGAGAAAGAGCAGGGGGAGAAGCAGAGGGAACGAATCTCAAG